CAATTTCTAAGTACCAAATACACTATATAACTTGTTATTGGTTTGTGAAAAATATGAAATTTGTGTAAAGCACTATCAAATGCATTTTGATTGAAAAACTTCTCCTAGTTAAATATAAGTTTGTTAGGTAACATTTTTCTATTTTTTATTGAAAAAATACTCTTCTTGCACTAATTAAGTACAAGCTTGTTAGGTAAAATTTTTTTATTTTTGAAAAGCAATGAGCTTCATTTTCTTGATGTAGAATCAAAGCATAAAGCTTTATCTATTGTCTTTTTGACCCAAATGTGTTGTCTGTGACACAGTGGCGGATTAAGACATCTTGCGGCGCAGGACTATTTTTGTTTTTAGAGCCATTTTTATAGTCCAGAACCTAAAAATTATATAAAAAAAAAAAGATCCTTTAAAATATTTTGGGGCCTCTAAATTTGCGGGGCCTGGAGCCTATAGCCCTATAACCCCCTTGATCCGGCGCTGCTGTGACAAAAAAAAAAAAAAAATTATCGAAATTATCAACTGTTGTGATATTTTTTACCAGAAAATATTAAACGATCTGTGCTTTTAACAAAACGATCAGTACTTTTTTATTCAAATACCAGAGATCGTACAAATAGATAGATCATGCAGAGATCGTACAAATAGATAGATCATGCAGAGATCGTACAAATAGATAGAACATGCAGAGATCGTACAAATAGATAGAACATGCAGAGATTGTACAAATAGATAGAGCATGCAGAGATTGTACAAATAGATAGAACATGCAGACATCGTACAAATAGATAGAATATGCAGAGATCGTACAAATAGATAGAACATGCAGAGATCGTACATTGACTGAGTTAAATAGGTAGTGCATGTTGTAAGAGTATATACATCGACTGGCTTAAATAAGTAGAACATGCAGGGAGTGTACATTCATCAACAGAAGGTTTTGGTTTGGACAGGAAATATACCAATTATTAATTTTTTTTTTTGTTTTTAAACTTTTTCCGGACTATTACTTTTTATTAAAAAAAAATATTGATTGTTATCAATCAATATTTAGCAGCTGTTGTAGTTTGTGCATACCCAGTTGCCAGATACCTTAATGTTATTGCAAATCTTTCTTATGCAAGAATAGGTTCAATTTTTTTTATAAAGTTTTTGATTAAATAAGAGCTATAACATTTAACAAATGAAAACTTTTTTTAAGTTTAAAAATTTTTTTTATCAGTCTTTTATCATAATTGGAAAAAGTAAGCTCCTCTTTTAACTTAATCTCGTGGTAATTTTTTCTGACCTAAAAACGCTATTCTCTAATAATTTTTTCTTTCTTTCTTTTTGCCATACATAAATAGTCACCTACAACTTTCTGAGATTAAGTATAAATTCCTTGCTCAGCGCAACCGATTTTAAACGCAAATTGTAATTTTAACGAGGAAGCAAAAAACGCATTTTTCGATTGAAAACGTAATCGCGGTCATTTGTTTTGTAAACTTAA